ACACCCTCTTGAGAAAGTGCAGATCATAAGTGCAAAAAGAAAGATCTCAGTCTAACATTTGTTAGGTGTGCTTGGATTGCAATGGTCTTCTGGCCATTTTATCGTGTTATGGCTGGAAAACAGAGACAATATTCCTTTTTTGTAAAAGGGGATAATATATACTCACTAACATGACATGATTAAACACATTGCATGCTAACAATCAAGCAGTCTTAGTCGAAAGTAAAAAAGAACTCATGTAGTTTGGAAGACACACTCAAAAAAGGTTATTTACCTAGTAAGTTCTTTTTGGCAATATTTCTGCACTCATTTATAAGGAATATATGAAAATATGTCCACTCATGGAAATGGTGTGTGGGGTTGAACAAAAACAAGCAGCAGTCTCGTTCGTTATGATTTAAGTTGACGTGCTCTATCGCCACGAAAACCGGGAAATCGTGCAGTCACAGGAAAAGAAAAGAGAATTTCGTATCCATCGATTACCCTATCTGTTTTTCTACGAAATTAAAAAGGTTTTCATTGACTTTTTCAGACAACACGAATTGACGAAGATGAAACAGCACTATTGCGTCAAGCATTTATGTTAAACCCATCTCAGACTGTATACGAGTATCTCAAAGGTCATCAGGCAGAAGTTTTGGATTTTGTCCGAAGTGAATTGGGAGCTGCAGATTGAAGAGTGTTGTACGTTATTGTCTTTTTGATTACTTTTAGTGCATTTTCGTACCTTAGCATTGTTGTCAAGTGTAAATCGAGCTTCAATCTATTCATACGCTATAGTTTTTCATAGGAGATTAGTAGAGTTTTCTATAGCCTGTAGCATCTTCCATAAAGTTTTTCGAAATCAAAGTGAAGCTTATAGATTGAAAGTTATTCATCAATTTGTTATGAATCCATTGTTATTTTTTGTTATTTTGGCGGAAGATGAATAAACCTTCCCTTCAGGATCACGATGTAGTTTATCCACCTTCTCTTACTGGTACTTTTCACTTTCAAAAGTTTGTTGATGCAAAATAAGTTTTGAGGCTCTGAGCAAGAGATGCCGTGTGCGGCACCATATTGATTCTCGGCGGCCTCACAACGGAGGCTTCATTTCCTGCACTGTCATAAAGCCTCCGTTGTAAGCCTCTGTCTCCTTTTACCTACGAGATTTATTTCTTTTGTTTTGCTATGGAAGAATCTCTTACTAGCTTCTAGTTTCCTTTCATTTTAGTTTCGTTCTCTTTCCTGCAGGCGCTTCCTTTTACCGAGGAACCTTTTGAGTAATGCAAGTTTTCAAATCTACTAATCATCCTTCTCTGCAGAAGCTCAATCTGCAGGATCTTGTTTTCCCTTAAAGGATTCGTTGCCTGATTCTAACACAGATGCTCTAGATTCGATTGAAGAAGTGTAGAAATCTGCTCTGTTAATTTAACTAATATATGAAATACATTTTTCTATGCTCATACTTGGAGTCGTTCTACTGTCATTTCATCTTTTCACTTCCATAGCTGTTGCCTCGGGTTTAGCACAGTATGAGTGAGCTATTGCAAATTGAAGTAAGACATTTTATGACGTTGCCAAGTCCAATGACTACAGCTCTTGCTAATCGGAGATTTGAAGGAAGAGGT